TTTTTTGAAAGAGCTCAAAGGACCCCGTTCTCTTGATTTTCCTTTTATATCAACCGGAACTTTCCAAAAACAAAATTTTCCTTTATAAGTTTTTCACGTTATTGTTTAATTATGAGATACAAATCAATTATATTTATTAAAATATTATATCCTGGCACTATTATTACTTAAATATTTAGTTTTGTATTAAGAATGAAACATTTTGTTGAAAAACTTACAATTTATGAATGTACAGACAGTAAAACGTCATTTTTAAATTAGAGGAATAAGGAAAAGAACAAATTCCTTTTTTATAGAAATCTATTAAGCATTAATCGTAATTTATGCATGTATTATTTACAGCGAGTTTCCGATATATTTAATCACATTATTAATGCTACTCTAACTTTAATGCGCGGTTCTAATAAAAGACGACTGCAATGATGCACGGTCTGTCTTGTGATCGCACGTAGTTGTTTAAGATTTCCATGGTAAAATAAAACACATATATAAATTTTACACGATTGAAATGATAGGCTCATCAATTGATTTAAGTATTAATCTAGATCTTATATATTTAGAATTAAATTCTAGGTTCAAATCAAATTATTTATATGCAAAGTTTCTAATTATTTTTATACACGAAAATATACATAATAGTATACGAGTATTAATATTTAATGATATTGTGAGGAAACTAGAAAATATTGAATTAGATAGATGAATAAGAATATTAAGAATAATTTACAGACATCAGTACGTTAGTAACTAATTCATTTTTAAACATCGCAACGATAATAAGTCAACTTCAAAAAGTAGCTGTAATTTATTCAAGTATTTTCAATCTCACTATAGAACCTAAAACGTGTAATAAACATCTATTAATTGATTTATGAAAATTTAAATGTATAAATATAGTCATATATTCAATATGGAAAATGCGTAGATATTATGTAACAAATGCACATTGATTACGTATACATTGAATTGACTAAACAATTGTTTATTTCCAGACATTTTTACACTCTTATTCAGAGCCACATCATTATATTGGTTTTTAACCCCATGACTTTACAAAGCACTATAATAGATATGAAATAACATGTCCATGGCGAAAGGTTACAAACTGTAACGAAACACTTAAATATTATCATATGGTAAAAATAAAAAATAAATGCATTGGGTTCAACTACCAAAATTATAAATTGTATCTAACAAATATTATGTTATAAAAACAATGCATGTGTATAATAAATTAACTGCAAGTAACAAATTTCTATCGGATTTCTACCTTTTTTTTTTCATGCATATAGAAAAAGACATATTTTGCTGCCAAATTAGATAATGAAAAATAATAATTTTTATACGAACTATAGGTCGCAGGTACTATTCTTAAGTGATAATGGTCGAGTTGGGATTGAAGTAGTTTTTTAGTTGTTCCTCTCATTTTTTTCATGATCTTTGTCTTTGCATACAGCCATGTTCTTTCTATGCTTTGAGTGTGAGCTCCCGTTAAAGAATCCATAGATTTTTGCTGACCGTTGTATGAATATATCCATTACTATTTAAATATCTACAAGCTGCCCACTCATCGGAGTGAATAATAGAGCCAGCTTCACATTCTCGCTGTATAATTGGGACTAAAGTATTTTTGTCTCTTCGAAGTACATACAAATATCGGCAGTCAGAACATTTTCTTAGACCAAATACCCAAAGTCCATTTATTCTTTGTCCATGGTTTCTACCGTTCTGGACTTCAACGTCACTGTCTTTCGATAAAGGGAGTTGATAACCATTGAGTAACCAACCTGGATTATATTTTCTCTTTCCGACAAATCTAGCCTTGTCAATCTGTATTGGATGAATCTCAGTTCCCACTAATTTTGGCTGTTTGTGAACAACATTTGAACTCGTACTTCACGACACATATTAAACCAGTCAGTAACTTTCCTTTGCCCTCTTCCTGTTTAAATGGTCGTTGTTCTCAAAGAAATATCAGGTACGAAAAAAAAACTAATTCTAAAATTTCGGTAAGTTTGAAATAACCATTATACCTACTGTTCAAGTCCTCATAATGAAAAAACTTGTTCCCCTGTCGTATACTACGCGTGGTCTGACATTGTTTTTTTTTTCACCGAAGAACAGGACGAAAGTCACCTCCTCGATATCGCTTTCTAGAATTAAACATTTCAGAACCACACTTATGACAATGTTTTTTTGGCAGTATCTAATAAACCGTGCTGCCTTAAAAACGCAGTGGCATTCTCTTCATTTCTTGATACAGTCAAATAAAAACCTTTTAATTGCACATAATACACACGATGTACAAAATGGATATAAATATAAACGCAGTACAACACAATCGAAGACCAATACGCAACTGACAAACTTATTAAATTCGTTATAATGTTGCACAGTAATTGTAGATAGGTTAGGTATATCAACAATTGTATCTTTCAATAAACATAGTTGGAAAGTACAAGATATGACATATATCAGAACATTTTATCAGACCAATTTTATTTTATCTTTTAATGAACGTACATGTTTATTAAATAATTATTTTTTCGGAGCATCCAAGTTGGGTCCCAAGAACTAGGGGCTAATCGTAAGTAGTGTACTAGTTGGGTCCTGGTTTTTATAGGTACTACACTAGTTGGGTCCTGAATTATTTTAGGTTTTATACTAGTTCCTGAATATTTTTTGGTAAGTATTACAGAATACTAACATTTTCCTTCCTATTTTAACAGATTGAAGACTGTATATGATCTATTTAGATCACAGGTATGGTTAAAAATGTTTTTTTAAAATTTTTTTGTTTTTTAGTTTCTTTTCCATTAAAATATAACAATTGCGTTAATAAAAATATTAAAAATGTTAAAAGTATAAAAATACATATTATATAATATAATTATAGCCATATAGGTAAATTAAAAAAAATTAAAAATTTTAAAATCACTATATAATATAAATAAAAATTAATGGAAAAGAAATTAAAAAAAAATTTTAACCATGTCTGTAGTCTAAATAGATCATGGACAGTCCTAAGTCTGTTAAAATGAAAAGGAAAATGTTAATATAATGTAGTACTTACCAAAAAATATTCAGGAACTACGAGTAGTGTATACCTAAAATAATTCAGGATCCAACTAGTATAGTAATTTCAAATTCAGGACTTAATTCGGATGCAGCTATTTTTTTCTACTACGATATGTGGTCTACATTTATGATGATAGACCGCATGAATATGTAGTCCGCATATGAGAGTAGCACCTAATTTGTTACGCCTTATCCGACTTATTACGTTCCAAACACTTTTTTTTTTTATTAAAAATGTATCCCTCTGAAGTCATTAATTTCGTACACACGGTAGTGTCGGTGTACATGCACCTTTATATCATGTCCGTGTGTACCACACGTATTAACGCTGTTAAGGTCATTTTTCTCAAATTATCGTCGAAGCGAAAAAACAAACATTGTCTAGTAAAAATAATTTACGTTAATTTGTTTTTCTTGTCGCACAGTGTTTCGAAAAAAGTCGTAAGTACTTATAGGTACACGTGTGAACTGCCAGTTCCCACCGCGTCGTACACGTGCACCGTTGTTATTCGGACGATCCTCCACTTTATACGACTGAGGCGTCGTCGGGGGGGGGGGGGGGGAGTAGTGCTCACGTGTGGTGGTCTACTTATTGGTAATCATTCAACTCGTTCCGATAGAGATCACATTAGGGACCTTAAGAACGAACCCGTCCCCGTTTCCGGTGTCGTCTGCCTACACGTAGTGTGCGCCACACGTTCCGCCCAAGACGGGATGTTCGCTTTCGGCGTCGGCCGGCGGAATGACCTCCGCCGCCGCGTCTGCCGGGCGCGGCGGGATGATGACTGGACTCCCGGGCGCACGACTAATGGAAAATCAGAAATCACCACCTTATCTCCGATGACGGCAACACACCCGGTCGTCGATTTGCATTGGGTCCGTGTAATACTCATTGCGCGCGTGAATAATGATTACAATAATAATAATAAAAATAAAAACCACTCCAATGTGTCCGGCAAGGTCGAGAGACTTTTAAATCAAAACGTCACATAAATATACGGTTTTTACATGTTATAACAAGGGGGGGGGAGAGGGAGAAAAGAAAGAGGATAAAAACGGCAAACGTTACGCGTCCGACGGTGGGGAGAACTCGGTTGAGTCTCTCCCTCTCTCGGAATGTGTCGTACCTACGCACAATACCGGTGATTAATTGTCTACTTGGCGACCTAATGGATTTTATTAATTGCCGCCCCTTCTCGCCCGGCATGCGCCCACCGCAACGCCGTCGGTATTTATTCCCACCGAACACACACACACACATAAATCTATATATACTAATTAGTATTGGCCAATACACTTAGGAATATGGTTACTATTTCATGTGTGTGTACACGACTTTGCCGTACAACTATTGTCGTATCCGTACGGTCGCATCTCAAACAGGTTCCCGAAACACAACGCTAATAACGTGTATACATTATAATAATAACGATAGACTATTCGTACCGTATTATATACCTAACGCGTGTACAAATAAAATAATAATACACAGTACGTCGAACGGAGGAGATCCATAAAAACGTCCCGAACTGCGCGCGGCGTTACATCATCGGAGGTCTCGCGACCAACGTGATTATATTCTTAGGCAATGCATCTTTGATCGGGTGCTCTTGGCCCCTACAAAGGATCGCCGAACCAAAAAAACCGCGTTGAAAAAATCATGTTGTACTATTAGTTATTACTACATTATCATCAGATACCGGACTCGTTTTCGTCGATAACATCGCGTTGTCGTCGACCAAAATTCCTAATTCCTATCGTGTAACAATTTGTTATTTCCATATACATATTAAATACGTATATGGAAATAACAAATTAGTATATACATTTTATATACTATTTAAATTATTATAAATTCATCCGATTCGCTGTATGCGTACGTGCATTACAATGTTATTATTTTCGTTGTAGGTACTACTCACCTAGCTCGCGCATAGACGGTAATTGCTGCCAACACGTAATCAAACTGCACGAACCGGAAACACCGTGACACTTGCACGTCACTCTGGACTTCTTCAGCACGGCCTGTATAAAATCAATACCAAAAAGGTTGACATTTTTTAATATGAACATACAACATCACATTTTTAAGCGCCTAATGTCCGGAAATCAGATGATTGCCCATTATAATTTATTATAAATATTTTATCGTGCTGATCATAAAATAACTGTAAACAGAAATTATATACAATCCCTTCAAGGCCGGTAAGCTAGTTTTATTATCTTATGATATTGATTATTCAATATAATATTAAAACAATTGGAGATTTAAAATAAGGCAACTACTCCGAATGACAGTGTAACACTCGAAATAAGAAAGTCATTCTTAGAGTACACGACGCACGTTCGTACATTCATATTAAGGTTCGATAATTCGACAAGGACTATTTTTTTTTGACTCATGTTATTTTACGATACATTTGTTCACATGTTGCGTTTATACTATATTTTACAACGTATATTTTTATAAAATAAAGTTAAGACCCTTAAACCATCTTCGTTATATATTTGAAATTAAATCATGCTTAGAATAAAAATGTGTACATTTTATTATATTCAGTTGTCATGTTAAAATATGAACAAGCTAGTAAACACTTAAATATTTATGTGACGTAAGTATATGTTCATAATAAAGATAATCTATAGTATATAATGTAAAATATTTGAATATTTTTTTTTCAATTTTGGCATATATTAAGTAAAATTAATATAGAAAATCCCTATGAAATTTCAGCAGAATCCTTTTTTTTAATTATAAAACTTGAATCATTAAAACTCGAACCAATTATTTTATTCTAATCAAATTTAATTTTCTACAAAAGATATATTCTACAAAAAAATTTAAAATGAATATCTTATATCTATTATTATATAATTAAACATACCTAGTTCTTCAGTTAAATAATTACAATTACCTATATAATAAGTATCTTAAAGCTTTCACAAGAGAACAACATTCATTGCGTGTTTTATACATTCATTTTTGAGTAATTTGTGAATACTAGTTTATATATGTATATCAAATTATTCTATACTTAATTTTAATTGAAAAAAAAAATATATATAGATATATCGGTATTTGATATGATATATACTATAGTGGTACAGTAATCAGTGACACGAAAATATAATCCATTTACAAATATTGTGATTACGATTCAGTTTCGTGACCTCAACGTAAACACGTATGAAAATTACTAAAATTAAAAAAAAAAAATCAAATTTGTTTAAAAATAAAAGTCATTACAATTTTCAAATTACAATGCACACATAATAATAGCTTGTTGGCTACCGTGGAATCTGTTTGAAAATTACCGCGTGATGTGTATACCGCATTTTGGTAGTATTATTACCAGGCCCAACCAGTACATATAAATAAATATTATATATAATACATATTATATGATATGTTGCGATAAATCATTCAACGCAATAATATACAAGCGGTGTATCTCCCCCACTTGTTTCGCTTGTTTAACGATACTACATTATATCCATGCACAGCCGTGATACTAATTTATTACGAATAACAAGATGAGCTCACCCTTCTGCCTGCCTCATTGTTGTGCAGGTTCATCAAGCTACGACCTTGTTCGGGAGAACCTCTTTTCCATCGCTTCTCTTTTTCTTTGACGTCCAAAAACCCTTTAGTAAACCTATAAATGCAACGAAAACCAAAATTAGTCATGAAAATGATAATATACTTGGTGCCCAGCGTTAAAATCGCTACGCGAATGTAAACATCGGTAACCAATTTCCCTATGTTTAAATAAATCAAATGTGAACAGCAATTCGTACTAGGCTATCATCGTTTATGATTACTCATTTTATTTAAACATGTTCGTGGTTGTATTTCGATGGTAACATGTTTTTAATATTTTATCTTAATAAAGTAAAACATTGATTATTAACTAATTTATTAAATTAAATAAAGTTGAATACTGTTTTAATCTGTCAAAATTATTGCAAACAACTTTTCAGTATAAGGTCATGATGATTATATTTTAATTCCTTCCGAAGAAGATAAATTATAGAAAATCACATAAAACAGGTTGGTCGATTACATTCAAAAAAAGATGAATATTTGTTCCTACGATATCCTAAATATATTCCGTTCTTATCCAAGTATTAAATTTATAATGTATAATATAAAAAGTTGATTCAGGTTAGTAATAAGGAACGATGATAAGTATAGGTAGTCAAATTTTTTGAGGACTTTTCTCATAAAATATGATATTAATAAGACGGTAGGTAATACATATTGCTACACTAGTACCACCACAGTAGTGTAAATGTATAATTATATAAAGCCAAGGTAAGTTTATAGTTGTAATATAATGATGTAACCAATTTGTGCCCTAAATGTATGATCATAGTTCATAATAGCGTATTAAATGGTTTGATGGAAACAAAAAAAAAACTACCGCTACGTCGCCAAATTATAGTGTCTACTTAAAAATAAACTATTTAAATCGTTTAATACCTATATACACATTTTAATATTTAATAAATGATAATGAACTGTTATGAACTATTAAATTTACACTAAAATTTAACATTTCACCACTTATCGATTAGAATATAATTAGATTTTTTACTATAGCAAAACATTTTTTTTAATTTTATCTATCATCACATATTTTATGTAATTACAGTCGTCAAGCCATGTGATAACTTGAACTGAACCTCAATAGCTCGAAATTTTTAACAACTTAAATATAATATCACGCTCCTTTAATTGTACTACAATATTAAAATGTTTTATTTATTATTATTTTCGCATGATTATTCGGATTTTTAGCCGTCGCACTCCGACTAGTCCGTTTATAGGACAGAAAAAAAAATGATATGATTCGATAAATTGCTTATAATTTAAAAGTAATAATATTTATTTAAAAATATACATAATCTTTTTTATTTGAATAATTTTATAATGTTTACGACGAATTTCTTGTATATATTAATGCAACTATTTGTATTATACATTATTCATTACGAACATTTTTTACATTAAATTAAATTCTGAAACGTATATAAACGTCGAATTTAAATTAGTAGTTATTTGAGTTATTTTGTCGTAACATCGAATATAGGTACCGTAATTAATAACGTAAGATACTATTGCCCGTTAAATGAGTATTTTCGAATAATAAATGTATCCCGGTCTTCCTGTGATACTTGTGTTCAGTAGTATATAATGTAGAGTGTATTAACGTAATAATATCGCCGCAACGTATATATTACTATAGTAATAACCGATAACCGTTAAGTAGAAACGCCGAGAATTAAGTCTATCGAGGGACACCACTTGAAAAACAACGTGCATTATTATTACTGCGCCTCGCACGCTCGTGAACGAACAAATCGTTTTGTCGTTTGATGACCATCTAACTCGTAATGTAACTGAACTTGCAGCGGTTTCTATACACGAAATCGTTTACTTCCCATACGTTACGATACGCGCGGGTCCGCGGATCGCTGCGGTGCCACCCCGTACGTTCGTTGTTTATAAACGTATATCGGTGCACAGCTTAAACAAACAACGTTAATATTTTTCACGCACGGCACTTGAGTACGGTGCACGTACGGTCGCACGGAAACGTTACGGACACGGATTTATGTGGGCAACAACATCGCGTGTAAAACGATGATACTCGATCGGCGTGGACCCAAATCTCTTTCGTTTACGGTCATTATTTATCGTTGTTAACCGTGAAACTCACGTCCAACATTCGACTTGTCGACGAGTGCGATTCGAATTTACGATTCGTACATCCACCGCGTTCGTCGCGCACACAACGTTTGCGGAACGTTTAAAACGTGTGCGCGGCGTTTCATCGACGTGATGATAACGAGTTGTGTTGTAACGGATTTCGCGCCGAGAAAAATGAACGCCAGTCCCGCACCGGATTCCAACTCGATTCCAGTGTTATGTGTGATAGCCGTCCGTCAAACGCGAGTACAAAAAACATAATGGACTCGTGTTGGACGATTTTTTTTTTTTTTTTAATCTTTTCGTAGCGTTTAGAATCTTTTCTCCCGATCGGACCTAACGGACGGATAATTATCGAGAGCTCGTACGGTGCACGGTAACGTTTGGTACGCAAACACAATGTATTTATTTTTTTTTTTTTGTTTTTATTTTCGGAAGCTAATCAAGCCGATACGTCAGCTTGTACGGGTGTAACCGCCGCGTCCGACCGGAATGAAAATCACCTAGTCCGGCTGCTAGGTGTAAATGCGAACGCTACGGGACCCGTCGTCGTCCGTTTAATTGGCTTCATCGGACGGCCCGCCCGAAATTATATTGTAATTACCGTTGCTCGCACGCCGCCACCACCACCGGTACAACCGTATTTAGGTGCCATCGTCAAGAAGCGCTGCGCGTGTTACATATTATGCGAGCGGCGCGCGTGTGATGCAGTCCCGTTGAAAACAATGGCGGTACCGGCGGTCACGGTGCACACCGGTGCCGGAATTTCGATATGACGCGCGCGGAGCGGTTCGCAGGGAACCTATATTTATTTTAACAGCTTCTAGACCGCTGTAAATCCACGGCACACCGATAATAATACACGAGAAGGTGGCACGCACGCATCAACGATCGGTTCCGGTGCGATGTAATTTATAATTCGGGCTGAGAATCTAAAACTGAAATCGTACCCTTATAAAAAAAATACATAACATACGATTTCTAAACAATAAGTAACGGAATGCACTTCCAATATGTGTACATGTTAATCGTTTTGGTTAGCCTAACCTAACGATCCCGTATAACGACTGTGTACGATTTGGTTTTAACCCCGTCCACAATTATCTGATGATATAAAACGAGTGATGTGTACCCGGTAATTTATTATAAATTATGGCTAGGATTTCGATGCACTTAACACTTTTTTCTGAAGCTTTCTGTACGATGCTCGTTCTGTTACAGATTTGTTTAAAGTATTTTTAAATCATAATAAGAAATTTTATTTTGCATTTTATTTTTCATTTTTTGACAATTTTTGATTTTAAGGTTATTTTTCTCATTTTTTTAGGGCATTTTAGGAGTTTTTGAATTTACAATTATAGATTAAAAATGTTTTCTACCGACGGATTAGTGTTGTTGTGTAAGGTATACAATGTAAAAATTGCTGTTGATAAACGTTTTACAATACAACATATATCAAGAGACAAACATATAAATGGAGTACAACGAAGAGAACAAATTGAAGAACAAGAAAAAATATGTATATCTACAAAAACTTATTGGGGAACAACAGGAGGCACGCTCTCATCATTTAGTGTAATAACAAAATATAATTTTTTATTTATTAATATATGAAGTAAAATAAAATATTTATGTACATGTAATGTAATTTTAAATTTTAAATACATTCTAAAGGCATTTTTTGAGTTTCTTAAGTCAATTTTGCATTTTTTTAGAGTCATTTTTTTAAGGACATTAATATCCCAGCCCTAATTATAATCATACATAGTATAAAAATCATATAACAATGCGAAATACATCTAAATTCCAACCCCGATAATGAAACATGTTGAGAATACACAGATAGAATATGGTGACGTGCTGGGGAGAGTAGCAAGTCTCTGCCCGATAATGTGCACTGCATTTCATACGAGTACGTATACTACGATATGATATGTTACGAACAATAGATTGAACAGAACATACGGAAAATCGCAAAACGCCCGCGGTACTACACGTTTCCAGTACATAACTGTAGGTACACAATATATAATAGCACTGAGTTTGGCTAAAGGGATAACTGTGTGTAACGGTTTCCCTGTTTTCTCGCTGCAGTGTCTTGCATACATTTTTAGATATTATTATAAAAGTCCCACCGCAATACTAGTACATTGTAAATTGCTTACCAATAATTTCCATGAAACATCAAGGCAATAAGTTCTAGATTCCGAACATTCGGTTTTCAAGCCGCAAACAAAAAATTGTTTACTCTATCGAATTATAAACATTGCCTACGTACACGATGTTCAATGATATTTCTACGGTTTTTTCGTGTCATCAATAATAATGAAACGATTATACATGACCGTGTCAGATTATTTCGAAGATTCATAATGCTATAAATCATCTAATAAAATCATCGAATTGGTTTAGTTACGATTTGCGAGAAGCATAGGCACAGTAAATAAGAAAAATCTTAACAATAAAGTTTTTTTTTCGATCACTATTTTATGTTTCACATACGTCATATAATAATGATTTGAAATGAGCTACTCCTCACTGTAGTATATTAATGAAAATAGGACGTAACCCATTTATAATTGCTATTTAAAAAAAAAAAAAAAACAATGCTGTCAATGAAGCTCTATCCATATTTTATATTATCATAAATTCAATACAAAAAAAATTGATCTATGAAACTATTACATTTTTTCTGATTTTCCCATGTAAAATTGGTGCCATACCAGTTACAACTCAGTCATAACTGTATATTTGTGGTCGGACGATATCAAAATATAACTTATAACTTAAGTACCGGGGACACTTGGCGTTTTGTCCGTTTTCGGGTTTTCAATCAACGCTGTACTTGTGCAATAAATAGTCACAATTTTGTCCCTAGAATACCAGGTGTTTGTGTGTAATACATATGTGTAGAATATCCGGAAGAAAGTTGGTTGACAGTGAACGCAACAAATTTTTATGGGCCTAACGTCACTGTATTGCAAAGAAAACACAGCGAAAATACTAATGTATATATTACTTTATACATACTTTATGTGTAATGCTTTTTTTTTCGTGTAGAAATCGTAATTGTTTACTATTCCGTAATACAACAAATTAAATTCGAATAAATAATACATTTGAACGCTTAAACGCCGAATGTGCACAAACCGTACAGATTAGCCATAAATAATTTGTTTTTTTTTTTTTTAGTATTTTTAATATAAATTTTATTACACTTACGCGAAAAACTCAAACCAGTTTCGAACAGAATAAAAAAAAAAAAAATGTTTTTGCGTACGCTGCATAAAGTAGTTTTTCGGTACTATCTGCTCGGAAACGTTTACCTGGTAATTTATTTTCAGAAATTAAACAGTAAAATAACGCAGTTCTTAAGTGTTTTGTATGTTAGAATATTGTTTTTTTTTACGACCTTCTGTCTTTGTTATATCGATTTACATTTTGGTGTACAAAATCTTCCGAATAGGAAATCGAACAATTCTTTTTTCTTTTCGCACAAAACACGAAAAAAATAAATTTATATTGTAAGTAGGTGGGTAATGTAACTTCTGAATCAACGTAAATTATTCTAACAACAATAAATTATTAATCTCTGACGTTTAACATCATTATTTACTTTTAAGTTATTAATGCTTGCACATTTCAAAACCTAATTTAAAAAATCAAGAATATGCACCAATAATTATATAATCAAAATAGTGATTAATATGATATCACATTGATTTTACTTATAAATTATATAAAAATCAAATACGTATAAATTACAAAAAAAAGTTAAAAAATAATACTTGAAACTCAGGTAATTGGAATTCATAAACTCATAATTTATAAATGTTCTGATGCTATTAAATATAAATGTTCAAGTTCAATGTCCATTTCAATACTATTTTAACATATTGAAATTAAAATGTTTTCATAGTATTGTCATTGAATTTTAACATTTATATAGTTATATGCCATAAATCTTAATCAATAATTATTGCGCATATTATTAAAAAAAAGTCTAATTAACTTATAAAAATATGAAGAATAAATTAGATACCTATCCCTGGATTGAACATTAAATGTAAAATGAAGTTGGGAAATACTGGAGATAAATTATTTTTTTGATCATGATATAAATTCGACAAGGATCGTATATTTTCTAAAAAATAAGGAATTCCATGTCAGTGATCATTCCATATACGGAGCAAGTAACAATGGTACTAGTATATCCAAGAACGGAAGTTCACAATCGACATCCCGTAGTGGTCTTAGAACTTTGAATTTTAATGACTTTCATTGGCTGCCAATCTGTCATTAAAAAATCTGCCCACTTGATATGATGTATTGTACTTCTTTTTTTTATATTTTTTTTTACTCCGTATGCTTCAGTTTAAATCAGTCGGTTTACATTAAGAATATAAACATTTTTTACGACGTATGTTATACAAAATGCATTTCATAAAACGAGTTTAAACAACTTAACTGATGTATTATAATCGGAATAATAGTCTCGATGATTCAACATTAACATTGATAATATATATTTTTAAGAAATCTATAAAAAAAACTGATCTAATAAGTTGCTTGTAAGTCTTGTGGAATTTTAATAATTTTTATATGAAAATAAAAGTTATTTAGTTTTTATAAGATCAAACGTATTTTAAAATATTCAGCAAAGAAATTTCACGATAACATTATAAAAAAAGCTTTCCCTTATAAGAAAATAATTACTTATTCGATGAATTTCGTTTACAAACATTTTGTGAACTCTAGCTGCTTACTTGTATCCATATTCCATGTTATCTCCGCAACCACCCCATACCCAATCCCTTCTCAACTCCTTTGGTCTTCCAGATCTCGAGCAGCTGCATGTGTTCAAACGACCATCTCGGCAGGCGCGGGCCATAGCGTGCGCAACGCCGGCTGATTTGATTGCTTGAACGAATGCTGCCTCGCGGCTACCTGTAACCGACACAAACACAAATTAAACTTGACGTTTCTTTTAACCCCTACAAAACTAATTCGGGAAGTTAAACATTAAACACAGACACACAGAGCAAAATTTCAAAAAATTAATTAATAACGCAGGTAACCTAAAAATCATATAAAACGGTATAGTTCGTCCTTTGTTAGAACATACTATAATATTATATGTTTTGTGCAGGCATCTGTTAATTATTGACGGGGACGTAATAATTTAAAATATCGTTAAGTGTTCAAAGATTACTAACAATAATTTATGTAAATCATTTGTATTAATTTAAACTAAAATATTATTTATGATTATGAATGCGGATAAGTAAACGACCAACAGCAACGTTAGGTGCATATGATATACTAAGTATAAATAAATACATAAATCATTGACCAGTGATTAATTAAAAAATAAAAAATAATATTAAACTATAAACAGATTACAGGTACTCAATAAAATAATGTACGTTTTGATGAGTGGAACAACAATGTATTGTTTTATATTCAAATCACAAAGTATTCAATCAATTTTATTCGAGTAATTGAGCTAGGAGCATCATATGGGAGGTTTATTCGAGCAACGTTTCGTGGATGGTTTAATTATTCTGGTAATAAATTAACAATATCAAAATGTAAAATACCAACCCACATTTTATTATAATCGAGTAGTTTTTCCATCGATTATTAACAGGTTGAGGTATTTTTCAAACCGATTTCTAAATGTTAATTAAAACATACACAGGTGTAATACTGCGTTTTTATTATAAGTAAATTCTCGAATAATTAATATAAAATAAGCATTCATTGTAAAATGCTCTGGCTAGCTTTTTTAAATTTGGGTAAACACTATACGCATTTGTGTCTATACACCTTTTTTCGGAGAGGAATTGAAACTAAATGACTTAAAGTGGATAAACCCTACATATTGACATAAAATGAAAATGAAAAAAAAATGCAATAATTGAATGCATTTTTTACCCATATAATATCGAATAACAGTCGTAATAATTTTTATGAAAAACTATTATTTTAAGCTCTGTAGCTATCAATCCATCGAGGTATTTAATTATTATTTAAGGCGGTAATTTTGACAAAAGTCGTGAAAAATGTTAGTATGCTAAACCCTAAAAAGTGTTAAATACAACACGCAACAGTCGATGTGACGGTGTGCATATGGTTTGCAAGAACAGTTAAGACTGACGACAATATATTGGCAATGCAATTTTAAGCGTTGCTATAAGTTAATCACCAAAACACGTACCTAATAAACAATTCACACAGATCGACGTGTTACAGTTAAGTACATTATGAATGTATAATGTTATGATACAGTGCACAATGCTGGTGGTCCACGGGTCGACTTTAGGGAGGGGTCCACGTGGTTGTGTTAAATGTTGAACTTGAGTGAAAATATCAACCATGCCGCTTAACTTGGACGAGGTTTCGGACAAAAAATAAAAGTTCCAGTCATCCAATAAAGTTCGGTGTATAAAATACGATAACATTAATTCAAGTAACAAGTAGTTATAAATTACAACTAACTGTTACTTAAGAAAGGCGGCTTGTAAGCACCATCTTTCGGGGTGGTGCTCCGGTAAAAGCATTTTTTTGGGTACATGTTGGTTAACATAATAGTTAAATTAAAATTTAGGAGGTATAACAGTAAATGTATGAACACATTTTTCTGATACACAATTAACGTTTTAACGTGGCAGCGATTTTAATTCAAATCGAGCCAAGTCAGAACAACACTTTTATCGTGGTAGGCGGGTGGTTAAAATTAATCTGCCCCGGTAGATGTAAATTTTCAAACCACCTCCGGTTGACCCAGTGTTCAACGTAATAAAAAATATAGATATTTAAAAAATTAAATCAAATTCAATTTTTATTTTTTTTTTTTTTTCAAAAACCGGACAACGTCGAAACCGTTTTCGGACAGGCTAACCGGCCGGAACAAACCGGATACGTTTTTACTTTCCGGAAGCGATGGTGTGACGCAACACGTAACGTACTTGTTTGTAAATCGGGTCCGAGGAACGGCGTGCCAGCGTTCTCGGCGTTCATGGAACAGTTCCACCGGCGGTGCAGGAACTGCGACCGGCACTCGGTGAGCCCGGACTGGACGCCGTACCGGATGGACGCCAAGTGTTCCTCGTAGAGCAGGCATAGCTTGGCCTGGCCGGCGGACAGGCCGGTCACGTCGGCGCACTTTGGCGGCGGATCAGTGGAGAACGAGGGCGGCGTCGGTGACGACGACGTTGGCGACAGGAGCAACGGATCTCCCATGCCCGTCGGGCCGCCGCCGCCTGCAACCGAGTCGACGCCGTTCCCGCCGCCCGGTTCCGGTGGCGTCCACGGCACCTGTTGTGCGTACGACGGCGTCTCCTTGTAGTGCCTGCAAAACACAACGCGATCAACAAAAAGAAAACCTCGAACGCCGCGCAACGCGCGTCCGCTTTCCACGTACACGAGTATAACAGCAGTGCACATGACGCGGGGGAGGACCAGTTATGATTATTGATCATCCCGGTGCATCCGAGGATTGGGTCACGAATCCATCCGAGTGGATATCTAAGTGGTTAAGGGTCGCGTAGCGTTTGAGTACCGGATTTTTTTTTTTTTTTTCATTTGTAAGTCCGATCGTCAAGCATCGCTGCGAGAACTCAATCGTTTACCCGCAGTGGTAGAGCTTTTATTATAAAAAATAGCGGATTCGCGCGTCAAAGTTAAACATATTAAACCGTATGTTCAACTTGCATTTCATAATACGTGCATCATAATAACTCGTGAACTACCGATGGTTTGCAGTATTAACATGTCTCCAATAAACCATATTTTCAACTTGAGTCGATCGTAGACCAATCGTTGACAGTCCGTCGAAACGGTAAAAGAAACGTCGGTGCATGTTCCTGGACCCGACCGGCAAAGCATTACCAAAAGCAATCCAACTGACTAGCGCGTAGAGATTTTAATTTCGGGACCCAATCCGTACGCAATCCTATCCCGTCACCCCCATCACATCCGACGGCCGGGTTTTTTGTAGAATATTTCGCAAGTGCAACAAAAACGCGACGTGATAATAATTTAATTTATAGTCGAGCGCTCGCGGTCACGATCGCCGCCACGGCCGGGTGGAAGGCGAGCTGGGACGCGACGAAAACCGTATACGCATTTCAAGTGCGCGCGTCTGCTGCCGTGCCGCGCTCTCGAGGGCAATTACATGCACAAGCCCTGTTCCCGGAAACCGACCGTATGGGTGCCGTGGAGGGGAGTGTGTGTTGTTATTGAGGAGGGGGTGAGAAGTGTAACGACTTAATACCGTCGGCGAGATCGGGTTGACGCGGCGGCGGCGGCGTAGACGGTGGGGTATGCGGAGGGGGTTGCACGCGAGTGAGGGGGTTAATATTTCATTTGCGTCCGTTCAACCGTGTATAACTATATTTCACCGCGCGCGCATAGTAATCATAAAACGCCGGCGGGCCCCCGAGACTAGGTAGAGAGAGAGAGAGAGAGAGAGAGAGAGAGAGAGAGAGAGAGAGAGAGCGAGAAGAGATGGGGAGAGCGCTCGCGTGCGCGTGTGTATGCGCCGGGACGGGCTCGCGGGACCGCGTACGAGCGAAGCGAAAGACAAGAAGCGAACGGGCGCGTAGGCTCTCTTCGCAGGCGAACAAACAACCCCTCCGGGTGCGCAGCCGAACGGGATCTGGCATGGCGGCGAGAGGAATCGCGCGCGAGCGTGTGTAAACGGACCACCTAATTATACGCTTAAAACATTTGAGCTTTCTGCCGACGAGTGCGTTTTATATATTATTATTATTATTATTATTAATATCATAACCCCAACACATTTATGCACACACACACACACATATCTATACGACGTGTGTACATTGATATTATTATTATTATTAGTATTAGTATTTAACTGCTCTTCTTATGCGCGTGTTTGCAGTACACGATGTTACGTCAAACGTAGTCGGCGGCCGGTTTTACGATCCGCCGACCAATGTTATGGGTGGTTTATACGTATACTGCAGAGCCAAACTTTTATTGTTTACCGACGTCTATCCTATATATAGGTACACACAAGTGGTATTCTCGGTACATTCGTTAACCGGCAGCGACGTCAGTCGTTCACCGCAAAACGAACTGGAAATAAAGGCTTCCGTTTGTATATTTTTTTTTTTTTTATGTATTTACGCGTGACGGATTGTGCTATAAATCGTTCGATAAACATTTCGTTCAAACAAAAGCCGGTTTTGTTTGCGGTGCGCTCAAAAGATCAGAATGAATATAATATACGGTGTGCTGCTCGCAGACGTTGCCAATGTTTTATTATTATTATTATTTTTTTTACGATTATTTCATATTTCATATTTTTTTATTTTTTTCTAATGGAAATTTACAAAAGAAACTAGACCACCCTTTACGATAAATAATAAATAAATAGAATATCATAAATATCCATAGTCGACCGCTTGTACGATTAAATAATAAATATTAATCAAATTACCGAGCGCACGGAAACGTGAATACGTACCTCATGATTTTAATAGAAAAAAAAATTGCACAAATCAATTTAACGCATCGTATAAAAGCATGGCGCACTTGTTATGACTGTTTTTTTCAAGATAATGATTTCTGTGTTTTGTAGAGTTGGCTCGATTCATATTCAAATCATTATAAATGTCTCTCGAATGTTTTGAAATAATGATTGCATTAATAATGATTCTCTGCCCCAGCGTAATGGATGCGTATAAGAAATCAAATTAGCGATCGACTTGCTTAACACTTCGGTTATTCGAAAATTGCCTTGGGGAATCAACAAGTCAACTAATAAATGCTGAGGATTTTAATTCCATGCACTAAGCAAAATTAATAGACATATGTATACCTAAATCGTAATTTATCGAGCCTTAAAGAGTCCATCGGATATCGCTGGATACCAGTTAAAAGTAATACGGAAAACGGGCTATTATTGTTTTGATAAGAACATTCATATCGTTTATAATATTTTAATTCCTGTAATATCTACGCCAAAGACAAACATCTGTTATTCGTTAATCGTCAAAATTTAGTTAATACCAAAGTATTTTAAACCTTTGGTATTAACTAAATTTTGACGATTAACGAATAACAGGTGTTTGTCTTTGGCGTAGATATTACAGATTACTAATACTTCTAGTTTCTACCATGATTATCACTATCTTTTTGATGGTTATCATGCAATGTTGTGGCGAGTCACTATCAATTTATAATCAATGAAAATATTATAAAAGATGCTAAAATATATGCCCAAAATCTCCATGCTGATACCTCATCTAAAATCAGAGCTGAGCTGTTCATACGGAGACAACAATGGAGTCAAAATACTATTCTAAAACTGAATTCTGCTGTTGATTCACTCTCTCAATGCACCAATCTTCAACCTAACATTAAAATACTTTTACAATTATTTGCCACGTTACCAGTTACCTCTTCCACTCCGGAAAGAACGTTTTCTGCATTTAATCGCTTAAAAAATTATTTAAGAAGCACCATGTCGGGAAACAGACTGAATGGGTTAGCTATGGCTAATATAAATAAAAAAGAGCAATTCGATGAAAGTGAAATAATAAATGAATTTGCCAGAAATTCGCCTAAGAAGATGCAGCTGTCAGAGTGGAGCAAGTGTCTGAACAATGAAACCAAAATTATTATTATTATTATAAATTTTATATTAATAAATATTTTTAAAACTATACTAAAGTACTTGAATTACATTTAAAAACTTGGTAGTAGATGGTGGGGGGGGTTAAGGGTGAATTCTCATAACCTCTCTTATCTTACTTATCAAAAAAAGTGATTAGCCCCTCCCATTTAAAAATCCTCGCTACGCCACTAAAAAAATCCTTATATTGAAGTATATATTTTATCGAATATTGATATTATTTATTCAATGCAAAGAACATAATTATTATTATACATATAGTTATAACTTTAATTATACATTTTCTGATAATACCAATTTTCGGTTTATAAAATTTCACTTATTACAAACTACGATTGTTAGTTATTTATACCTCGCATACTTATTAAACTGCCCTAAAGGTCTTTCGACAATATTAAAATCGATTTATAGAGTTTTATTATCTTTTACAACATTATTTTGTATAAATTAAACTCAAAAATTATTACTTCACAACAATTACTCTTCTGTCTTTCCTAGTACTACATAGTAGCTATACTACACATATATTTCATATCCCGAGAGATGTAAATGTTTAACCAATTTTGATTTATAACTTTTCATTATAGAAAACTAATAATAGGACCAAATATGTAAATATATATACATATGTATGTATGTATATATATAAATAGTATAGTATATGATGTTGAAATATGAATCCCTAACGAGTTTATGTTTACGATTATACAGATATTATATACCAAAAACTTTTAACAGCTCTAACCTAGAATCGGATAAAATGAGTATAATTCATCGTAATAATTTAACATGATCGTTGTCAAAAATAGTTTAGATTAAAATGTTAAGACCACGGTGTATGGATAAATAATGTTTACATCATGGTTATAAGACTTTCGGTGCATTTTATTTCATCGTAAAATGCTTTGATAAAAATGAATTTTTTAAACATCCCCAGTGACAAAGGGCGTTTAATAAAACCATAAAAACATTGTTTTCTACGTTTTGAATTATCAAATCCCATGACTATAATTTCCATATGGTACACACCGAATCTTGACATTATGTCTTTATAAATGTGATATTAAATCTTTAAGCCGGAAATAACGTGCTCTTCCGTAGACAAATAATCCGTTTAAACCGAAAGGCGCAGAAAGTAAGGAAAACATTAAAGGAGCATAGGATGAATATACTTATATTGCTTTGGAATTAAATGATAATAATCGGGGAGTATTATATAAAAAATATCGACTTAAAAAAAAGCTGAATTTCTCACTGCTATATCTGGAATGCGTTACCTCATTTTAAATATATAGATGATATGCATAGTATGGTACTTCAATGAGTCAATATACCTATAAAATTTTATTTATAATTTTGTATAATAAAATGCGTGACGGATTACAAATATCATATACTTTCGGAATGGTAACAAAACCATGTGTAGGCGTGCAATGTATTTACACACACACACACACACACATATTGTGCTAGGCAATAAAAAACTTCGTTTTCCCAGAGAAGTGTTTTGAAATAGAATATTTCGAGGGGATGTAATAGCGCACAAAATTTGAATGATAAATCACCTGACATCATTTTACACCTTACGCGGTGTTCAAAAATAATCAATGTACCTACTGTGCACGCACTAGAATTATTCGACGATGTCGTTTAAAATCGTTTTCCAAAAAGTTTTCAAAACTATT